GGGAGACCTCTAAAGGAGAATGAGGAGCACTTGTTATCAACCACAAAGCTTTTCCAACTTGTGACCCGCATCATCCTGCAAGGCACCATTGTTTTCCTTAACTTGGTGGTGCCACGCTCCTGGCTGTGCAGAGGAAATAATAAATCCTTTGGCAGTTCACATGCGTATATTCAGCACTGTTGTTATCTCTTTGCCTGGAGCTCAGATTGAAATGAGCTGGTAGGAAAAGTGGGGGATGTGCGAACGTGCACAAAACAAGACCCGCCAATGTGGCTACACCCTTCCCGAAAAAAAGTATCTCCATTCCACCCACACCATTCCACAGATGCAAAATGTTATACCCCCATAGCCATATGTAAAATCCATCTTCCACACATGTGACATCCATGAGAGACATGCAGAAACAGCTGCTTTCTCAGTCTCTGAATCCTGTACTCGGCATGCATTCTGTCATTGGCTGCGGTACCTACAAATAACCACTAGATGGCGCAATTCGTTATTTCATGATGTAGCAGAAAACTGATATGATGATCAATGTCTCCCTCAAGATTCAGGAAGAGGAGCAGACACACAATTCTCATTTTATAAAGTAATAATAATAATGATGATGATAATAATGATAATAATAATAATATTAATGATAATATTAATGATAATAGCAGTGATGATGATTATTTTAGTGTGGGAAAGGGCAAAGACATGTGTCAGGCTTTTATTGCTGTCTGTGTCTCCATTGCCAACATCGACCCTATTTTTCCTTGTGACTATTTTTTTGGGGACAGGAAGTGAGGGAAATACCCTTTTTTCAGAAGGGGGTCATAATGATTTAATGACACTGCCTTATGTAAAGTAAACCTGTGACATGCCTTGGTTAGCACCATTCATTGTACTGTGTCAGGGAGGAGGGTTGGATGACACCAGGGAAGAGGGTTGGATGACACCAGGGAAGAGGGTTGGATGACACCAGGGAAGAGGGTTGGATGACACCAGGGAACAGGGTTGGATGACACCAGGGAAGAGGGTTGGATGACACCAGGGAGGAGGGATGGATGACACTAGATGTCATTAAGCCAAGAAGAGGAGCAGTGCTGCATCTCCGAGCAGTGAGTCTGTGGGGTGCAGCACCGGAGAGGAGGTGAGTATTGCAGCAAGAGCAAACCCCTAACAAGTCATGAACCTCTGTATTATATCTAAAGCTCAGTAAATCACCTCTCCTCTCCTCTCTCTCCCCCGTCCCCCTCTCTTTCTCCCCCCCCCAGCCTCTAGATCACGAACTAACAGCCATGTATAACTTGACCGTGTCCGCTGAGAACGAGGCCCAGCTCCTTCCTTCGGTTCCCCGCACTTCGCGCTCAAAAGCTCGCGTCACTGTGATGGTGAAGAATTTAAACGAGCCTCCTGTGTTCCTGGAAAATCCCATGGTGGCAAGAGTGAAAGAGGGGAGCCCCCCGGGTAGTGACGTCACGGTATACATGGCAGTGGATCCAGACAGCGGTCTGGCCCAGGACATCCGGTAAGACGTTGTCCCCTATTATGTGACATTCACACTAGAACTCCATTATGTATGTCTGAACCTAGTGATGGCAGCCACTGGCTGTTCAATGGAAAGACAGGTTATGCTATGAAATGAGACGGCATTCCTGGCCACACACACAAATATATTTTTATGGCCTGTGCTCCTCAGCTCCATCTAGTGGCCATATTGTGATACTTTCCTGATATTACATTCATTCTGGAAAGAAAATATGCTAATAACGTTCGTTTTTGCCTCCATTCACACAGAACAAATGAACATGCAATTTCACAGAACGAATGGCTCCGTGAATTGTTTATAAAAACACCCCAAAGTGTATCTAAGCCCAAGTTTCTTACCTGGAGTCCTGCCAGTAACAGCACTTCCTCTTGCAGGCTGACATCACTAAGCCACTGCCTCTTTAGGAGCATCTTGCGGAGATAGATTTGAGTGTCATCGGCATAGAGATGGTATTGGAAGCCATGTGAGGTTATTAACTGACCAAGAGAGGAGGTGTAGATGGAGAAGAGAAAGGGTCCAAAAATGAATGTTATCAGCATATTTTCTTTACAGGTGGAATGTAATATCAGGAAAATACCACATTATGGCCACTAGATGGAGCTGAGGAGCATAGGAAATAAATATTTATTATGGCCACTAGATGGAGCTGAGGAGCATAGAAAAATTATTTATTATGGCCACTAGATGGCGCTGAGGAGCATAGAAAATTATTTATTATGGCCACTAGATGGCGCTGAGGAGCATAGAAAATTATTTATTATGGCCACTAGATGGCGCTGGGAAGCATAGGAAATAAGTATTTATTATGGCCACTAGATGGCGCTGAGGAGGATAGAAAATATTTATTTGTGTGCAGCCAGAAATGCCATCGCCGGACACAAAAGGTCCACATCCAGGGTTGGTCAGAGGCTCTGTTGGCATGTATCTGCTTGGATAAGCATTTACATGCAAACAGCGATGGCACCGGCCATTGATTACAAATCTGACAGCCGCCCCTGCACACACTATGCACATGCAGCGTTTGGCTCCACTGGCAGGAATCACTACATTTTTGGGGGCGGCTGCCCATGTCAATGGGGCAGGTTGTATTCTAATATCATTAGCCGGGAATATGTGAGATTCTATTCACACTCTGTATACTGTATGTGCAGCACGCTGGTCCTATCAGAGGTGGAGGGAGCTAGTGTTGTCACATTCCTGGGACTCTGATAGACATGACATTGTCTTTGTCCTCCTCCTCCAGGTACTCTCTGGTCTCTGACCCGGCAAACTGGCTGCTCTTGGATGCCCAGTCTGGAAAGATTTGGACCACCTACACCATGGACCCAAAGTCACCCATGCTGCAGGGAGGGTGGTACACGGCGCTCATCAGAGCCACCGACAATGGTGAGAATATCCAAAACACCCCCCCCGGCGCCCACGCACCTCCCCCCATGTATCATTTCATTATTTCACGCCTGATCAGCTTAAAGAGACCCTGTCACCAACTCAAACAATTGGACGGGGAAAATCAAATATTTGCAGCGCTTTCCTTTCCTTTGAAGATTTTTTGTTATTGACTTGCGGTTCTGCCTCTGAACTTGCTGGCAAATTTGACTACTTCAAGAAAAGTCAATTCCCTAGCTTAGCTCGCACCCTCTCCTTTTCTGGGAGTGTCTAATTGCAGTCTGTGCTGGCCCAGCTACTACACCCCTCTCTTTACTGTTATTGTTTTATCCCAGCCGTACCGCCGCTGAGCGCCACAGGGACACTCTCCATAGAGGTGGTGGAGCTGAATGACCACGCGCCAGTGTTGCAGCAGCATTCCGTGGAGCTGTGTAGTGACCCTCATCTTGGCCAGGGCTTTCTACTGAGTGCCGCCGATGAAGATCTGCCTCCCCAAGCCCACCCGTTCCACTTCCAGCTGGATGAGGCGTTCCGGGAGTGGAGCCTGAACTGGAGTGTCAGCGACCTCAATGGTAAGATCAGGAATTGTGACTCCGATGTCAGTCATAATATATAGAGAATTCTGCAATAGTGTCAGAACTTGTGTGAAGTTTTCTTGTTATTGCTGTCTGTGTTCTCATTGGAGAGATTTCCCCTCACTTCCTGCATTAGTGACAACAGAGCAAGAAATGAGAGGGTTCTGTTGTCACCAGACATGAAGAGCAGTAAAACCGAGACAGATGTTCTATTACAGGGGTAGGCACTCCAGCTGGGGTACAACTCCAAATCCCATCATGGCAGACTATGTTCTCATCAAAGAATCAACCCTTCACCGTCATCTGTATGCCGGCTGGGTGAGATTTAGTTTAACTTCCTGTCCTGGTGGAAAAGTGTCACTAGGACAGGAAGTTAGGGTAAATCTCACCAATGAGGTCAAAGACAGAAATGAAAACGTGACAGAAGACTTCTTCAATCCCCTGTGCAAAGGAGGCACCCCGACCTGGAACAGAGGAAGTGTGCAGCAGAGGCAACCCTACCCAATACAGAGGAGACACCCCTACCCAATACAGAGGAGATACCCCTACCCAATACAGAGGAGATACCCCTACCCAATACAGAGGAGATACCCCTACCCAATACAGAGGAGATACCCCTTCCCAATACAGAGGAGTCACCCCTACACAGTGCAGAGGAGTCACCCCTACACAGTGCAGAGGAGTCACCCCTACGCAGTGCAGAGGAGTCACCCCTACGCAGTGCAGAGGAGTCACCCCTACGGTCGTGTACTTCTTCGGTGTTGGCATCCACCTGGAGTAAGTTCTTGATATATGTACACACGTTCCATGTGATGATTTCAGAATGGCGGCAGTCCTGTGCTCTGTTGTGACTCTTTTGCCTCTCTAACATGAGGTTTTGTTTAGATGTTTGAGAGGTCAGCGCACGTCACATTCACCTTCCTCATCATCTTATTCTGATCTGTCCTCCCCAGGTACCCACGCCATGCTGGAACTTGTAACCGAGGTGGAAGCCGGCCTCTACCTGCTGCCCTTGTTGGTGTCAGACTCCGGAGATCCGCCCCTGGCACAGCTCCATGTGCTGAATGTGACGGTGTGTCAGTGTGACGCGGTGGGCATCTGTAGTGGCAGTGCAGCGACTCTGTTCAGCTCTGGAGCCGGCATCAGTCTGACTGCCCTAATCATCATCATGTGCAGCATTGCCCTCCTACTGGGTGAGTGCCATCCATACCCAGCCCAAGGCTAATGACTCTTCCCTGGCCAGCTTATGGAATCTGTGTGGTGGTACGACGGTGGTACCTCCGTGGCACAGATACTGAGCTGTTTGGGTTTTCTAGGGCACTGTATAGATATGAATGTGTTCACTACATAGGCTGGTCTATGCATCAGACAACCACGGTGCTGACCTCACATGTCTGTTACTGTGCCATATTTCCATCATTATAATGGGGGAGGAGATTTGTAACTTGGAGCAGGTTTGGGGGGGTAGGAAGTGGGGGTCGGGGACTATTTCTTTAAACCTGAACTTGTCTTTAAAGTGACCCTGTTGCTTTGCTCTACGTAGACAAAGGACAGGATTTGCTGTTGTCACACTGGAATGCCCTCTGCCTTAATAAGTGGGGTACACATGGTACGGATTTCGGCCAGTTCCTGATGAACCCGGCAAAATTCTCACAGTGGTTGCCGCTGTCGGCACTCTTCCACCCGGCATCCCTCCGTCAGCTGATTGAAGGAGCCGGTTGGAACATTCTCAGCTGCTGGCTACATTCGGGTCTTACAGGGGCAGGATTGAGTCACGCTGCAGCCGGGAAGGGTCCCCACAATATTGCCAGGATCCACCCCGGGTGCCTGATTGACAGCTGGCTCTTA